CCGCCGCAGTGTTTATACCCGGGCGCGAGCCCGCACGCCCGGCGCGGGGGACGTGAGGCCCCGCCCCCGCTGCGGCCCCGCCCTTCTGCGCCCGAGCTGCTCCCGGGGTACCGGGACCCCCGCCGCCGAGGTCAGCGGCTCGCTGCCGATGGGAAGACTGGCTGAGGCAGGGCCTCCCTGCGGAAAGCGACGTCACGGCCGCTCCCGCAGTGTGAATGAATCAAATGCCTGGGTGACCGCGGCCTCCGGGCTGCCGGCGCGCGAAGGGTGGAGGGGGAGGGGAGAGCGGCGGGCGGGGGCGGGAGGAGGGGAGAAAAGCGGAGCTGCAGCAACAGCGTCTGGGCGACCCGGGATGTGCACCAACCCCGGAGAGCGAGATCAAAGGGATTTGAAGCAGGCTGAGGGCTGGCGGGGGAGGGGCCGGCCAGCCTGTGGAGTCCTCCCGAGGAGGCGGAGGGCCCGGCTTCCAGTGTGACTTCGGCGGCCTGCTTGGGTTTTTTATTATTATTTTCAAATTTCTGAATCCAGCTAGAGGGAGAGCGCGAGAGATCTCCGTGGACTGCGACTCGCTGGCTCTTGCTCCAAGATGATGCAGAGCGCGGCTGTCCCCGCGGAGGGGGCTGTCAAGGGGCTCCCGGAGATGATCGGTGTGCCGATGCAACGTAAGACAACCCCTTTTCTTGACGATCTAATTCGGTACCAGGACAGCTCACAGCCTCAGCCGGTGCAGGGCGGGCCGGACGCTGCTCGTGGCCCTGGCCAGAAGGGGCCGGCGGCTGGGACGCAGAGGCGGTCACAGGGCAGGGGCACCGGCCAGAGTGCGTTTGAAGGGCCTGGCTGTGGGCTGTTCCGGGAGTATGTGCAAGGCTCTGAGACTTGCTCGAGGCTCACCAGCGGAACCGGAACACGCATTTGTAGCCCATGGGTTTTCTGGGTACGCTGGATAGAGTGCTGTTTGGGAACGAGATGGGGGTGGGGGTTCGAACTGCCGGCGAGGCCTGGGGTCAAGGGTGGCCCCCAAATCGTTTTCTTCCCGGGCGGACCAAAGCTTGCTAGAGCGCTAGTGCAACTTCACCTCGGCTGGCTGGAAGTTGGAGAGTGCATCCCACTCACTCCCCCAGGGTCTGGCGGCCCAGAAGCCCGGGCCCCACGCTCAGTCGCCACCGCCACTCGGGGGCTGGGCCAGGCGGTCCGGTGCGTCGCCAGCAGCTGTGCCCGCGGCGCTGGCCGCCTGCGCCGCCCGGGACCGACTGTTGCTGTGAGGGAATCCACTCGCCACATTCCAGCGGAATGTAGAGGAGAGAGGAGCGCGGGGAGGAAGTTGTGAACTCGGGCTTCACTCTTTAAGCTAGCTAGGGCGTAAGATCCGGTGGCTCGGGCTTGCAGGCGAGAGACGGAACTCTGGGCGCTAGCCCCATCACTTTCTTCGGGCGCCTGAAAGCAGTACCGCGAGGGTAGCTTGGGGCGTTTGTCCCCAGACTCTGTGGGTAGGGGTGTACGCGCACGGATAGTCCCGGAGCGAATCTGTATCTCACTCTTGATTTCAGTGTCCGCATGAGACAGTTTGTAGAGACTGAAACGGGTCTTGACGGTCGCGCGCGCACGATGAGCGCTGCGTTAAGTCTTACTCTGCCAGCTGCTGAGTTCTGCAAGGCGTCCTGGGCAAGGTGACAAGACGAAAGATTCCCTCAGTCTTTTTGTCAAGGGATTGTACTTGTGCCTAGGACTTCGGACTTCTTTAATGGTGCGATAGCTAAGTCCTAGACGCTTAAATAAGAGCTGGCTCCTGGAGAGAAAACTGCTGAAGAACTGGGGCATAGGAGCGCGCCCTCCTGCGCCACTGCTCTCCATCACAGGTTGCTGTCCCGGGGATGCCTCCAGGGGTAGGCTGGCCAGCAAGGGCCCTAAACTTCCCTGGGACGTTTTGGGAAGAGACTACGAGGATAGCTTGACCTAAACCTATTTAGATTGTTTGTTGGCTATATCCTTCGGCAGTTCTTTTTGTCAGCAGTTGGCAAACAGTCTCAAGTCCATGCTGGGCCTTGTGTAATTTCCTAAGATGTTCTGAGAAGGCCCTGGGAGGTCATTGCACTTGCTGCCCCTCAAAGGGAGTGACCCAAAGGGTCATTACCTCCTGCACAACAGAAATACAAACCTGGCAAAGATACGCAAGATTTAAAGCTAATTGTAGCTGTATGAAAGTGAGTGAGGAAAGTAGTGAGAGAGGTGAAGTGTGTGTGTGTGTGTGTGTGTGTGTGTGTGTGTGTGTGTGACTCGGTCCTCAGTATCTAGAAAGCCTGTACTCTAATGGCTGCGACTGATAGGTGGCCTGTCAGTTGGGACAGCAACAAAATACAGTGCCTGGGTTTGTTCTGATCCTTTTTTGGAATATGCAGCCCTGAGATTGTCTTGATTTTTGTTTCTTACTCAAAGACAACTTTGGTGCTTGATGTGAGGAATTTGCTTTCCTAATCTGCCCAGTGCAGGGCAGGATACAGTTTGTTTGCCAAAGCTGAGTCTGGGTTCAAACTGTGGAAAACTTAATAAGGTAAAGGAAGGACCCTTTTACCTCAGAATGGCCCATCAAGGCAGTGTAGTACCAAGAAGGGTGGTTAGTCCTCCTTTTTATCTTGCTAACATTCTGTGGCCCCAATTAGAAGAGGCACCAGCCCAAATCAAGGGGCCTATTATCTGAGGATTGAAGAAATCTTTGTGTGACTTATTCCTTCCCTGAGAGCCCATCTGGCTCCTGGATGTTAGGCTGATGGTGCTAGGACTGGGGGTAGTGGGTGTGGCCCCCTCACACCTATGTACACAAACATTGTCTTCCCTGCACTAAAAAACCTAATTCATTGGAGAGAGTATAGAGGGTCACACCTTTGGCTCTCAGGGAGGAAGAAGAGTAATCCTAAGGCCTATGGACACCCAAACTTTGGGTGAGGGGAGCTGAGAAAGACTTCCTCATAAGGGGTCCCTTGTATCCAACAACCACAGGTTTGGGTTGTGCCCCTCACCCCTCACCAACAGAGATGGGTTCCACGTTTTCCTCATCCTGAGCCACCACCAATCACACTTGGAGCTCTTGGGGGCGCAGGTCTCAGGACCCATAACCTCGGTCACCTGGTGCCCTGCCTCTAGGGGCGTTTTTGGAGTTTAAATCCACTTTGTTTCAGCGGCGATGGAAATATTTTTTTGCTTATTTGAGAATGGGTGAGATGCATTTCCCTCAGGGAAACATTACCAAGTAATGTAATTTTTCTTCCTTTGGCACTTTCTGCCCACGACCCTGTCCTCTTCCTTGCCAGTCTGTTTCCCGCCACCTGCCCCCACTGGTTCCTGGGTCGGCTTCTGTTTAGCGCTACAGTCCTTCACCCAATGGAAGTCTCTTTCCCCTGCTCTCCGGGCTAGGGCCGCACACTACTCCACAAATTTCACCTCCATGGGCGGCTAGAGGGGACATCCACCCAGAGCAGAGAACTAAGGAAGAATCGGTGGAAGGAGGCTGGGAGCCATCCCAAGAGCAGTCTTTGTAGAGAAGTAGAGCCCCTTCCCCATAGATCTCGGTTTGGACAGATGCCCCCGCCGCGGGCCAGTGCCTCCCAAGGAGATCAGTCCGAGGCTCCTTGCGGGGTGATGCGCGCGCTCCGTTTGAAGGAGCCTGCGGCACCTGCGGGCTCGCTGTCTGCGCCAGCCTTGGTTTGGCGTCTCACGCTCGCTTCATTTTTGGCAGGGGCGGTATGGATGGGTCTGGAAAGGGACTCCGTCCTAACTGGCAGGTTCCGGCTTCTTGGCCCACGATTTTGTGTTGCGGGTCTTCCACTCACCGACCTCCTCCTTTAGGCACAGCCTGTCAGTGCCCTGATGGAGCTTTAGGTGGCCGCTGTCCCAGTCCTCACAGCGCCCGCCCAGAGCAGCGCTGGGAGAGATTAAACGCCTACCGAGCATCCTGCAAAACTCTTGAACTCAGCGGTCCCTCCACGCACTTGGGTTCTGCGGCCCCTGCGGATGGCTAAGAAGACTCAGAAAGTGCGAGATATGTATAGGACGGTGGGGCGTTTTGTCCGTCCGTTGCTCACGGTTCTGACCTATCTCCCATGCATTCTTCCTGGTCTCCAATTGCTGGGGGCGGGGGGAGTGGGGTGACCTGCGCGGGAGAGACTCCAGTCGGTCCCCACTGGGCTGGGTAATTGGAAAGCAGGCCTGGGGCATCTCCTGCCTGATTCCAAGTCTCCTAAAGGGACTGCCTCCAGCCAGTTCCTGCGGATCCCGAAGTTGCGGCAAAGGCGATTTTTGTATGTGTAGCGTCTGAATGAAGGACTTCTAGGACGCCCCATTACGGTCCCCTCCTTTTCTGGGGCTCCCCGGCCTGTGCGGGGGTGGGTAAATTTCCAGTGTAAGTCGCGTCCTAAACTGTAGTCCCTCACAATTGTTTGTTTTCCTGCGGGGTTGGGGTTTTGTAGCCTTGTTCTCCTGGCCAATGTTTTTCTCAAATTGGTGCCGAATGCTTTTTTTTTAATTCCCCATTCCTGTCTTATGGTGAGAGAAAAAAATCCACGCGAACATATTTAGGTATATGTGGAGACTGCGGTGCAGAATTTCAGACAGCAACCCGGGTAACACAGGTTTCTCTCCCTGCTCAACAAAATCTCAGGCGCAAGCCAATTTTTTAAAGACCAGGCTGGCTGTCTCTACTGCCCACCGATTGCAGCCTGGTGCATTGGGGTTCGGATTTCCTAAACGCTGCGAAGTGTGAATCTCTTGCCTCAGCTGTGAACTGCGGAAAAGGGAATTTGGAGACCCTGCAACGACCATGACAGGGTGTAGCTTGGGACAAGGAGTGGTCAACAGCGCCAGGGCCCTGATCTCTTTCCTCGCAAGACCTCGATCAGGGAGGATCACGAAGATGGGGGAAGTTTTGGGAAGCTCCAAGCCCAGTGCCTCAGGGTGCAGATTTAAAGATTAGACCTCGCCCAAGACGAGCTGGTTTGCGAGTTGCGAAGGCCTGCGCTGAGAGGGAGTGGAGGGATAATCGCTCCCGGGAAGTCGCTACGTCGGGACTGAGAAAAGTTTGATTTTTTTTTTTTTTTTTTTTTTTTTTTTTTTTTTTTTTTTCTCTTTTGCCTGCGGTCACGGCTCGAGGAAAACCAGAGCCAAGACGGTCTGCGCGGGGCTGGGCAGGAGTGGCGTCCTCGGGTCTGGGGCGCGACCCTCTTGACCTCGCTGCGACCAGGACAGGATGTCTCCGCCCCGCGGGCCAGTGCCGGCCCGGGTGGCCGGGAGAGCAGCCAGGGTTTCTCTTCTGAGCCTTTGCTGCGCACCTGCGGGCGGCGCACTGTCCTGGAGCTCGCTGACGATGCGCAGGTCCGAGAACCTTGCGCGCGGAGCTGGCAGAGGCGGGCAGGGCCATCCTGGGGCAGCCGGCTGTGCGCTCACCGTCCCGCAGTCCCGGTGGAGGTGGCGGCGGGGCACGGCACGGGAGGGGCTGGATCGGGTCCGGCGCAAGAGCACCTTCGGCTTCTCTGCGCCTCACGCCCTCTCTCTCTGTCCCTTCTGTGCTTGGGCCAGTTCCTTTTCCAGGTTCACTCCCGAACGCCTTGAGGTCCAATGAACCGAGACTAGCCAGGCTGGGACCCGTTGCCCTTTAGAACAGTGACGGGGACTT